TATCTACATTTTTTAAGACCCTCTTTTTTGTTTTAATGTTGTCATCTTTTACATATTGACATCTGTTTCCCTATTTTCAGCGTTTTAGCTTTGATTTATATTTGTGAGTACCCTGTCTGGGTTGATATCTGGTTGCTCTGTCGTGTGATCTATTCTTGGGTTTTTATCTGATGTTATTGATTTTCTAACTGGAAGTCTCCGTTTAGTATTTCTCGTAATTTTGGTTTGGTTTTTGCAAATTTGCTAAACTTCTGTTTTCTGGAAATGCAGTAATTTCACCAGAGGATTGGGGAGGAACTAGAGGGGAAGCATTCATTCCTCTTTGTGGTAATATCTTTGTGGTAAAGAGAGCGTAGACAGATGTGGTAGCCGAGGGGGATGATGGCGTATGGGGTAGAAGAAGATTTTTTCCTGAGATGTGGAACTTACAGCATGCTGATGGGAATGAATCCATAAATAGGGAAGAATTAATGATGTGTAAGAGAGGAGACAGTTGCCAGAGTGAATGTCATTGTGCTGGTGAGAGGAACTGGGATCAAGTGCAGAGAGGAGAAGTGGGCTTTATATAGGATCATGGATCCTTTTTTTTAAGAAATATTTTGTTGTGCTTTTGGTAAAAGTTTGCATAGGAAATTAGGTTCTCATTTAACAGTTTCTATACATATGTTTCAGTGATATTGGTTATATCCTTCACAATATATCAACATGCCAGTTATTTCTATTTTGGTGGTTCTTTTTCTGTTATTCTGGCTTCCCTGTTTCCCATTGCCTTCTCATCTTTGGTTTAAGGTAAACGGTAACCATTTGGTTTCATCTAGATGATTATTTTGAGGGGCACAGTACTCATGGGTGATACTATTTATTTTATGGCCCCATCTGTCATTTGGCTGAAAAGTGACTTTTGGGAGTGGTTTTAGTTCCAAGTTTTAAGAGTATCTCAGGGTGATAGTTTCGGGAGTTTATCTAGTCTCTACCGGCCCAGTAAAAGCTGGCCTTTTTTTTTTTTAGGAATTTGAGTTTTGTTCAACATTTTTTTCCTATTTTACCTGGGACCATCTGTTGAGTCCCTGGTCAAAATGGTCGGTAGTGGTAGCCGGGCACTATCTAGTTCTTCTGGTCTCAAGATAGGTGATGTTGTTTGTATAGACTGTTGGTTTTGTAGACTAGTTTCTTCTTTGAGTTTTTGGTTTCCTTCTCTCTCTGTAGCTCCAAATGGGTAGAGACCAGTAGTTATATCTTAGAGGGCCACTCGCAAGCTTTTAAGACCCCAGATGCTACTCACCAGACTAGGATGTAGAACATTGTCTTTATGGTTTATATTAGGAGGATAGGTTTTTTTTATCCATAATCAAATACATTTTTATCATTCTTTAGTGGGCTTGAAACTTTTTCCACTTTGTAGAGTAATTGAAGTCAAACAACAACAACAAAAAAATCTAACCCGTTGCTGTTGAGTTGATTCCCACTCAATAGTGACCCTGTAGTAGAATTGCCCCATAGGGTTTCCATGGAGCAGCTGGTGGATTCCAACTGTCAAGCTTTTGTTTAGCAGTCAAGCGCTTAACTACTGCACCACGAGGGCTGCTAAATTAGTCCATGCTATGTAAAATGTACGGTTTAATGCATTCATCATTGGCCCTAGTACAGTCCTTCCTGAGCATTCATCTTGCCCTGTTCAAAGTAGCCCTTGAAAGAGTTCTTCAGGCTTTCATTCTCTCCCTGTACTGTAGGTTGACCCTACCAGTTCTCTTCTTGGCTGCAGAATACAACCCAAACTTTCTAATATGCCATTAAAGGCCTTTGGAATATAGTTTTATTTTTTACCATTTTATTTTGTACATCTGTTGCCAAAAGTCACTGGAGTACTTGCTTTTGACACAACAGACTTAGCACTTAGAGTAGATTTTGGAATCAGAATCTACTCTGGGGTTGAATATTACTAATTGTACAACTTTGGGTAAATTTAGCTAGTCTCTGAGTTTGTTTCCTCTTCTGTAAAATGCAGATAAATACATATATCATAAATTTGTTCTATGGATTAAATGAGACAAGGTAGTACGTATTCAGTAAATTTTAATCCTCTTCCCCTGTTGCGTATGTTTGTTACTTTAAAAAGCCTCCTTATCCCGTACATTGTCTATGAAAGTTCTACTCATTTTTAAGGTAAAGTGCTAATACCGCCTCATTTATTGAGCCTTTCCTAATTTAATTATTTTGTTTTCCTCCTGTTCATTTTCTTTACTGCATTTCACACAGCCTTTACACGATACGCACTCAGAAATGTTTTCAAGACTGAGTATCATCTCCTGAGCACTGTGATAAGGGTCAAGTTGAAATAAAGGTGAATGTGGGCTGAAGATTATCTACGGTATAGATTTCATGCCAGTTTTTTTTACAGACTTAGTCATATGTATGGCTTTTACCATTTTTGCCTCGTCCATATGTCAACTATACTTTATTTAACGTCAACGTTTTCTTTGAAGGACTCACTTTCTAAACTGTAATTACTCATCCTTAGCAATAATTTCTGAAATCATTTAACTAGTTCTATTTTTCTCTATTCTATATTAAAATGAGTACATAACTCTTAATTTGTTTAAATATTTTCTGAAATAATTTACGTATACCATCAATGTTAATGCCTTTGCTTTCTTCCCTAGGTGAGTTTGTGGTAATCTGTATTCTTTGCTGCACTAAACCAAGGGTAAATTAAGCTGCTTTGTATTTCATTATTATGTGAATGATAAGAAGATAGTTTAATGTTTATATTGTCAGCTATAAAGTAGCAAACTGGTCTGAGAATTACTTTACCTTAGAACATTTGCCAGTAGTATCCCTTCTTTAGAGATATTCCCCAAAATGTTGTTTTTTTCCTAAAATTTAAAAGTTTTCTAATATTTGAGACTAGTGCTCTTAATCATTTCAAAAAGTTTTATAGTAACATTTGATTTATGAAAGTATTTTTTTATTGCAGTGAGATGGAAGATTTTCGAGGTATAGCAGAGGAATCATTTCCAAGCTTTTTAACCAATTCCTTACTTGGTAATAGTGGCATTTTGGAAAATGTCACTCTTTCTTCAAATCTTGGCTTGCCTGTTGCTGTTTCCACACTTGCTAGAAATAGAGCCAGTACTGGTAACAGGTAAGATTTGTTTGAACAGGTGATACATTTTTTATTTTTATAAAAGCTATGATACACCGATACTTATATAAAATTTCTCAGTCAAGCTTGCTTTTTGCTTTATATATGAGGGAGATGACCAAATATCTAAAATTAATATAGAAAGTTAAAACTCTTCCCCTGTCTCATTGTCTTACTGGGTATGTGGGTGAGTTTGAGCTTGAACACCAGTGACCTTTTGGTTAACATTGCTTTTTTTGTCCATAGTGGTTTGGACTTACATTAGATCAGCTTTAGTGGTTGCTGGTTAATATAAACCAGTTTTAGTTAGCGAAATTCAAAAGGGAAATTAACGATAGAGTCTAGGAGTACCTCATGAAATGAAGGGCAAGAATACAGAGCCGTGGCAAAAAGGGACAGGAATCAGTATCTGAGGAGCAATAAGAACTGAGTTCTGTCTTTTCTCTCCACTTCACTTTATGTAATAGCTTCATTCTGTATTCTATTTCAATACAGTGGATTTATCTGCTTTTGTATTCAGTATTATAGAATATGGCAAAATACAACTCCCAGAAGGTATTTGCGTATTACATTTCCAGCTAAACAAGGAGACTAACGAACGGTCTCTTAAAATCTCGTGATTTATTGGTTTATCTTGGGTTAGGCATCTATCCCAAGTCCAGTCACCTATGGTTAGAGCTTCGGTCATGATGTCTGTTTAGAGCCCCTTAGTTCATTTTAGCCAGGTTCACCTTTTCACCATACTTGCATGATTATCTTTCTCTTCTGTAGTATGTGTATACTTCTGAAATAACTTAGTTCTTAGCTTTGTAACAGCTTTCAGTTCTCTAGTCAAGTTTCTCTTCCTTAGTAGAACTAAACCATTTTTTGTTCTCCTAACCTTTCTTATTCTTTCCATTTTTATAACCACATATATGTTTGGTTAAATATACCTTATTTTCTGTTTCCAAATGTTATGTTGGGTCCTTGTGTAATGTATAAATTTTGCCCATGTTAACATCTATTCAGTTTTCCAACCTCCTTTCAACCTAAATGTTTGATAAGGAGCATTGTCTTTATCTTTGGAACGAAGGGGTTGGATTAGTTCTCTAAAAACTCTTTTAGCTTTAAAATTTCTGTGCTGGTATCATTTAATACATATAAACACCTCATTGCTGATACACAGGTTTTCTGTGTTTTGCACATAGGATGATTTTTTTGAACACCGTGGCCCTATTTGTTTGTTTGTTTTAGTAATATTTTGTTATGTTTTAGGTGAAAGTTTACACAGCAAATTAGTTTCCTCTTTAACAATTTTTATACAAATTGTTCCGTGCTATTGGTTACAATTTTTACAATGTGTCAGCATTCTCATTTTTTCATTTTTTCCATTCTGTTTCCATTTATCTAGCTTCCCTTCCCCTCTTTGCCTTTTCACCTTTGCTTTTGGGTTCACTGTTTGGTCTCATATAGTTGATTGTTTAAGGGAACACATTACTCACAGATGATACTGTTTATTTTATATGCCAATCTGTCATTTGGCTGAAAGGTGACCTGCAGAAATAACTTCAATTCCACATTCGAAAGTTATCTTAGGTTGATAGTCTCAGGGGTTCCTCTAGTCTTTATTGGTCCAGTAGATCTGGCCTTTTTTAGGAATTTGAGTTTTGTTCTACATTTTTCTTCATTCTGTTAGGGACCTTCTATTGTGTCCGTGATCAGAATGATTGGTAATGGTAGCCGGGCACCATGTAGTTCTTCTGGTCTCAGGTTAGAAGAGGCTGTGGTTTGTGTGGCCTGTTAGTCCCGTGAATTAATTTCTTCTTTGAGCCTTTGAGTTCCTTCATTCTTTTTTGCCGCAGACAAGTAGAGACCAATAGTTGTATCTTAGATCACTGCTTGCAAGCATTTAAGACCTCAGACACTATTCACCAAACTAGGATGTAGAACATTATCTTTGTGCACTATGTTATGCCAGTTGACTAAGTTGTCTCCTAGGGCCCTATTTGTTTTTACCCCAGATGATTAGTTTTACTGTAATGCAGCCGTGTGTCATAGTGAATTTTAAATGTGCATAATTTAATTCTTAACAATTAAGACAATTTTTTTTGTGTGTGTGTGTAGGTATTCTGATATCCAGGCATCTTACTTAGTAGAGGGGAAATTTTCAATTCCGTCTGAGTCATCTCACAGTAGCCAGAGTGATCCTGAACCAAAACAGAGGTTACAACTTAGCTTCCAAGATGAGTAAGTTCATACCTTAATCTTACTTTGTGTTACAGCAAGTCTCAGTCTTATGGAAGATGAAAGTGTGATTGTTTCTTTATGTCTCAGAATCTTTTGCCATTTTCTTTATATTACTTTAATCACATACTTTTTTTTGCTTAAATTTTATTTATTTTGTTGTCATTTTGAGAATCTGCACAGCAAAACATACACCAATTCAGTAGTTTCTACATGTACAATTTAGTGACATTGATGACAACCATTGATGTGCAACCATTCTCACCTTCTTTTCTGAGTTGTTCCTCCTTCATTAACATAAACTCACAGTCCCCTAAGATTAATCACAAACATTTTTAATCTTTCAAAATATTTTTTCTGAATCTGAAAGTAACATATGCTCATTCAAAAAAATGCAGAAAATATAGAAACTTATAAGGATGACAATAAAGGTCTAATTTTACTACTGTATTTTTACATCTGTGTTTGTTGGCCAACCACACCCTCCCTCTGCAAGGTATTTTTGTAAGCAACACTATGCCAATTTTTTTACTTGTTGCTGTAAAAAAAATTAGCATAGTGTGCTTACAAAAATACCTGTGGGGAGGAAGGTGTGGTTGGTGTGTGTTATTTGCATAAAAATATGATAATTAGAAAATAGCCATTGATTATATTTTCATTTATAGTCTTCCAGACATATTTTCTGTGCATATGTACATGTGATATATATGTATTTACTTTTTTTTTTTACAAAAATTGAATTAAACTGCACATACTACTTATACAAGCTTTAAAATTTAATATGTTGTGCTCATCTTTCAATTTCAGATAATACATATCTGTATCATAATTTCAATTAAGTCCATGTTGCTGGGAACTTGGATTATTGCAATTTCGCTGTTATAAATATAATGAACTTCTTTATTTATACTTATATTTTGCACACCTAGGAGATTATTAAGATAAATTTCTAGAATTGAAATTGCTGAGTTAAGAATATTCAATTTAAGTACTGTTACATATTACCACGTTGCTCTTTTGAAAATGGGTATTACTTTATAGTTCCACTAGAAGTTGTTTATGAAAAGTCTGCTTTACCAAACCCTATTGGACATTTGGTTGTATTATAATTTGTTTTTATAACAAATTTCAATTTTCACTTTTTTTTTTTAAAAAAATAGTAACTCCTTATTCCCCTGTCCGCTATCCCCTGGAACCACCATTCTTTTGTCTTGACGGATTTCCCTATTACAGATATTTTATGTAAGTGGGTTCATACGATATTTATCCTTTTGTGTCGGTTTATTTCACTTAGCGTAATGTTTTCAGGGTTCATCCACGTGGTGGTGTGTATCAGAACTTTATTTCTCTTTATAGCTGAATAATATTCCATTGTATGCGTACACCATATTTTGTTTATCTGTTCATCTGTTGATGGGCATTTGGATTGTTTCCACCTTGTGACTAATGAGAATAGTGCCCTATGAACATCGGTGTACATGTGTCTGAGTCAGTGCTTTTGGTTCTTTTGGATGTATACCTAGGACTGGAGTTGCTAGGTTACATGGTATTCCTATGTTTAACTTTTTGAGGAAGCACCAAACTGTTTTCCACAGTGGCTGCAACATTTTACACTGCCATCAGCAATGCACAAGGGCTCCATTTTCTCCATATCCTTGCCAAACATTTATTATCTTCTGTTTTGGTTTTAAATTTATTTATTTATTTTTTTCCATCTCTCTCTTTTTTTTTTTAATTCTACTTTTAATGAAGGTTTACAGAACAAACTAGCTTCTCATTAAACACTTAGTAGACATATTGTTTTATACATTGGTTAATAACCCCAGGACATGTTAACACTCTCCTTTCTCGACCTTGGTTTCCTTATTACCAGCTTTCCTGTCCCCTCCTGCCTTCTAGTCTTTGTCCCTGGGCTGATGTGCCCCTTTAGTCTCGTTTTGTTTTATGGGCCTATCTAATCTTGGGATGAACGGTGAACCTCAGGAGTGACTTCATTACTGAGATAAAAGGGTGTCTGAGGGCCATACTCTAGGGGTTTCTCCAGTCTCTGTCAGGC